ATTCTCTTCTATAACGATTATTTTGCTCAGATAATAAAACTTACAATGTATAGCACATTAATCAAGGTCAAAGTAAAAGAAAAAGAAAAAAACTTCGATGTCTAGTTTTACTAATATGAAAAATACAATACAGAAGACTATATCAAATGACTTTTATATATACTATTGAAGAGCAGATTACTAATCTTAATAAAATCGTAACCAAACTTTCTTAACGGCTTCTTAGCTGAAAAATATTTACCTTTTGTCAACAAATCTTCATCAACATGCATACTCGTATGTTGATGTAAATATGCAAAGAAAAAAGCAATATTGTTAACTCTTATCTCATAAAGTAGAAATGTAAAAATTTTATTTCAATAAATTCCTTTTAATTTACTTACATTTTCTTTTCCATTATCACATTAGTTTCTATTAAAATATCGCCACTTTGGCGAATATCTAAAAAATAGAATTCTATTGTTCATTTGGAAGGAAAGAAAAAATGCAAAATCACAGTGAAAATAGCAAAACAGCAATGAAAAATTTTATCGAAAAAAAAGAAAAATATCACACTTTATTGTTGTTTACGTTGACGATTAGATTTATCATTATTGAATTCAGCAATCGAATTTGTAGCTTCTTGGTCGTCAGTATTCGAATAAATCAATGATAACGGCCATGGAATACGAAATACATTAGGTACCATACATTGAATATTTTTTTCAAAATATGAAAACATTGGAAACCATATTGATAAACGATTGTCTGACACCGAATGTAAGACAGCATTATTAGCTAATGAATGATAATAAAGAAAAAGACGACTTGTTAAAAAGAATGCAATGAATACATCAATTGAATAATGTTCATGCGCTGCTAAAATTAATACCATACCAAATATATTACAAAACCATGAAAGAAGATGAATAACATAAAAATCAGATGTTGTATCTAGAAAAAAGAGAATAAAAATATATATTCATTTTATTATCATTATTTGAAATATTTAATCTTACATTCTGTTATACAATGATTTAATAATGTTAACATAACTGTATGACCTGAAAACATATAATCACCACATGATCGTATACCATGTATTGATAATCCTTGAAAAATAAATATTTGAAGCCAACGTGAAAAAATTTCTCGAGTTGTTCCATATTGCTAAGAAAATTTATATGAAAATTTATATATATAAATTCACAAAATTTATTTACTTCTGGAATACATTCAAGATGAGGACCGGGAACCTAAAAAATACAAAAAAAAAAAAATAATACTAAGAATCTCTTGTGAAACATTTATCAATAAATCTAATAAACACAATTTATTATTCTCTATGAGGGTATGAGTATTCATAAGAGATTCAATATGGTATGTATGTTTTATGATATTCTTTGTACTTGTTCATTTTATTTTATGAACATGACAAATAACACTTGAGATTTAATTATTACGAATCACTATGCGATCGTGAATTTTTAATGAGTGTCTAGATGAAATTTTCGGATGTAGAACAAATAATGGAATATTAATGGCATCGGTATACAATATTTGTATTCGAATTATTTTTATGATTTAGATAAATTAGTTCTCAATATACTTGAAATAAGTAAATAATTTCAAATTAGACACTTTTTTTGTTATTGATCATTACAATGTGTAATCTGGTAAATATTCGCCTCTTGTTTTTGTTTTCTTTCCGTTTCAGCTTATTGTCAAGGTTGTAGAAACTGACAAGTCAACCGGAAAGCAAAGAGAAAAACAGTAATCTACATTGATGGGTCTAATTTATCTAGTTCAATTTTCTCGATTTTTTTTCTATCAGGTTGATCGATTTTCTATTTCAATTCGAATATGAATGTCTACGGATCAGTATATTATAGGAATAATCAATAAAATAACTGCAAATTAACATGTTCTCATTTAAAATTTATTTCCTAGTTTATGATAACTTTTCTAGACATCAAAATACAACGAATTATCATTATTTTCTTTTAAGATTTATTTAAAAAATATAAAAAATCTTACACTCAATGATGTAACCAACATAGTAATTGATCGAAGAAAAAAGATAGTACCACCAAGAGCAAAAAATCGTCGAAGTATGACAATCCTATATAATAAATCCTATCAAATAAAAAAACAACAACAAATATATATACTCACCAATATTTGTGAAACATTAAAATTAGTAAAAATGCTGTACCCATAACGACAATTAAAAATTCACTTACAGCAAATGCCCAACCTAAATAATAATAATAATAGTAAAAAATTATTTCTTTTATTCTTTTCAAAAAGAAAAATAAATATATAAAACACTTACTAATACGTGGAATATTATCAAGAAATAGATCAGGCAGTGGTGGATATCTTTAATTTTAAAATATTATAATCATAATAAATAAGAAAAAAAGAATTTTTATTTACTTTTGTACATTTGGTACACGATTATGTACAACAACCATAATAAATGATGTCCATATACCAATAATTAATGCATAAATAAAACTAGCAAATGTTTTACGTTTTTCTCCTTTTAATGTTTTAAAAACTGTTTTTTCTTTATTTATATGACATGAGCATTGTGTATTATGAAAATTTGTTTCAAGTAAATGTGTTGGTGATAATGATGAATGATTATGTTTTGCTGTTTCATTATCAAAATTTGAATAAAAATCATTATGTTTACATTGAAGTAAACGTATATGATACCATAATTTTTTAATATCACATAAACGTTTAATTGATAAAGGTGATTGTTTAAGATCATCTTCTTTCATAAGAAGTAATGTTAGACCATCGATACCATTTTCTGTACAAAATTTGTCAATAAATTTTGATAAATTTAAAGACGCAAGCCATTTTGCAACATCATCTGTTGTCCACGATATAACTGAAGGTGTTGGAGGGTCTTTTATCTAATAAAAAAAAAACATTCACAGACAAAGAATTCATTATCAATTATATTTACTATATCATGATTAGAGTTTCCAGTAAAAATTGTAGTAGTTAATGTATTAGATTCGTTCATCATGCAAGAATGATTACAAACAATCTAAAAGTAAAATTTATCGTTAAAACAATATTTGAATTATAAGATTAAAGTTCCATCTTTATTACTAAATTGATGTATATTGATAACCATTAACTGCTATTCGTTCTTCTGAAAGAATAATTCTCGATAGATGTCCTTTGATAACTATTACACGAGATTTTTTTTATTGTCTAGCCAGACAAGGACACATGTTATGCCAAAAAAATCATTTTTTTCTGCATAAAGTAAATTTATAAGCGTCAACATACTCAAACTCACTTTCTCTTTCACACAAAACAAAAGTTTTTTTAAGAACGTAAAAAACACACATTGTATTAACATGTAAAAAGGAGATTTTTTTTTATCAATCTTGTCTCACTCAGTAAAAAATACAATTTCTTCTTAAATATATGACGAAATTCTTTTCCACATTTCTTTTCATCATCATTATTACAGGAGTTAAAAGCAAACAACAATTGTGAAAAGTAATATGAAATTTTCTTTCAATTTTTGCATGCAAGCCATCGCTCACTGTGTGCACGCAACCTACATATATTCTTTTAAATTACGCACACCTTGTCATTCATACAATCTACTGTGTCAGCTTATCTGCACATGTGGCGTGTATAATCAGAAGAAAAATCAACATAGAAAAATAAATTCAGTCAAATATTATAAAATAAATATTAGCTCTATTGAAATCATATAGTTCTTTAGGCAAATATTTTTCTTAATTTCTAGTTTTTTTTGTTTTTAATATAAAATTATTCGCATGAAATTATGCATGTCATTAACTGATGCAATATAATTGCGTGTCAATATATTTGATGATCAAATTTTTTTAGTATGCACCTCACATTATTATTTCTAAACAAATGAATAATATTTTTATTTTTATTTATTTTGATTTATAATTTACAACAGTACTAATATGTTTTTTGCAATCTTTCCATTGCTCTATATTTTCTTTAAAATTGAATAGGTGTTTTATCACTAACTTGATACAAATTGAATAGAATTGCTAAACTAACAGGATAGTTATTATATCAATAGACGACTTTAAGGCAATGGAGTAAGATAGATAATTGTATTAATAAAACTACCCTACAGAATTGTTGCTACAATAAATAGTCATTCAATTTAAGTAATTGATCTGAACGATAGACATATCACATTAACTCAATAAGGACAATTAGGTATTAGATGATAGTATAATATAAAAATTGCTCTGTCAACGCTATTAAGTGATGGATCTAATAGATCAATATTGAACAGTGCTAGAACGATGCGTCGCAGGTATGTGAATGTTGGTGTAAGTCAAGGTTGCCAGATTGAAAAATTAAAAGTCAGAAGTTTATTTTTCAAAATCGGAAAAAAATCGAAAAGTGATATTATTGTGTTAAGGTGCCTATTTTGCTGTTCGATTAATATAATATACTTAACTCTGTTTCTGTTCATTTATCTACACTATATTCAAAAGATATTTCATAATTAAAAACCGATAAAAACTATATAAATGTAGATTACAAGTAGACACCTCATTCGATACGATTTGCGACAGTGACAGATGAGTCGTTTTTGAAACGCAATTCTTCAGCGACTCCCAAAAGTACACTTTTCAACATATATGATATGCCTGTTTAGCATATAACCGGCAACAGTATACCATCGTTATCGAGGTTTTGTAATGAAATTCTGACATGTCTTCATTGCTATCCAAAAAAAAAACACTTGAAAATTATCGTACGGAGTGTATTAAAAACCTTTTTTTAAACGTTTTTGAGGTAAAAAAAACAGTAAATGTGTTGAAAATTTGATAAATCTTCTGAAATAAGATGTAATTTAACTCTTCCTAATAAAATACCCTTTTTCAAACGTCTTCTTCTCATGAACTATTATAAAAAGACTTGAATCTTCTAGGATACTACGTGTCTGATATTGAGGTAATATAAAACTACTACCTAAAATTAGATCCATGGTATCGCCGGTGAAAAATTTTTCTACAATGGATCACCTCCTGTGATGAGTAAAATCGATAGCTGAAAAATATATTGGTAGAAAAAATAAACCAAGATAAACAATATACACATGCTGTGTACACACAGTAACAAGTAATTACTATATTTCCGCCAAGCACTGGAAAACTAGTAGAATTCAGAAAAATCTCTAAAATCTAAAAAAGAATCGACATAAAGATTATAAATCAGAAGGTTAGAAGAACGTCAGAAAAAGGTTAAAAAACAGGAAAGTTTCCTGACATTTCAGAAGATCTGACAATCTTGGTTACATTTAATTTCTAGTCAAATACTCAAAAACTTGAATCTATGAAAAATTTTAAAAATCAGAAAGTCGGAAAGTCATCGAAAAAAAGTTCAAAAATCTGAATTTTTCATACTATATCGGAAGATGTGGCATCTCTGATTCAAATCCATACTGACGTCTACCATCCCACACGTCATATCTACACCCACACTCATAGCGTCATCTGCGTTCCAGTAATATGATATTTAAAAAACAAGCAATTGATGATTAGGGAGATTTTCATACGAGGAACCATTTCTCGAACGTATTTTCACCAAGAACATTTTTGCAAGGCCAATTATGTAGAAAGATAATTACTCTGTAAAAAACAAACAACATACTCTTGGAAACTCTTAAAACGTTTCCGAACTCTCGGAAACGGATTCAGGATTCTGAGCTTACGAAAGTCTTGAACGCAATATGCCAACTAAAGGCTCTGGAGCTGACTAGACAGATTTCGACACTTTGAAAGACGTCTTAGAAACTTGATCGAAGATTCCGATAAACGATCTGTTTGGAACGACGGAAAAAGAACAGATAAAATGAAAATGGAAGTCATCAATTTTTTCGTATACGACTTACCATTTGCGTTGTATAGATATGAGGCTAAATATAAAAATAAGATTAGATAGTCTTTATTTGTAATATATAACTTACTGCTAATATTTCATCAATATGGGCCTCAACTCATGTGCAGCTTACAATTAGAAACGATGGTTTCCTATTGTGTATGTTCTATCTGAGAAGATTAGTTCTTCATCAGAAAACAACGAAAAACATAATAAAAAAACGTTTATCAATAGAGAACTAGTGTAACTTGTTATGCTTGATTATTTTCAAAACGGTAGTAACAATGCATTCTCTACACGAAATGCAATGTCAATTCAACAAGATTCACTCCAGTGAAGGTGAATAATAGTCGAACGTAAGTGTACAATCTTCAGTCTTGAGATTAAAGACTTAATCTTTTATTTTTATTCGATTACAAAATAAAAGTAAGGAAAATGTTTAAAAAAAAAGGGAACATTTCTGCATTCATGAATCACTGCTCTTTTGAAAACAATATATACACATGTTGCTGAGATGCCATATAAATGACAATAACCTGTCCACATATTCGCTCAAGTTGATGTTTTTCACGTGATCTGAAAGCCTTCGATCCTGTAATTTTTACGAATAAACTAGTTATAATAATCATCTAAAACCAGAAGCTTCTAGTGTTCCCACTCGTTGTAACTTTCAACAGCCATGATGACTATATTTAACCGTTATTTTATTAAATTTAATGAAAAAGACGCAGGAAGAAAACATAATTTTTATGTTAATACTATTATTTTCTTTCAAATTGTTAACATGATATTTTTCTTCATGGATTCAAAATTGAGACTAGCTCAACAATGACAAGATAATATTAGGTTATTTCAAAAGTATGAAATTGTTTCAGATTTCGAAAAAGTATTGATGCAAACAAAGAATGATCCGTAATTAAATATGTTATACTAAGTATATGAGAAGTTTTCAGTTCACTAAAAATCTTGAAAGGTGAACGAAAACAAAGATCAGAAAAGAAAAATTGAGCACCAAAATGTTGTTTTAAGAAGCTTTTGGATTCTAATCACGATCTTTTTCGTGAATATTCTGGAAATTTTTAAAACTTCAGAAACCTTTCAAAGTGTCCAAC